GCCTGGAGGAGGGAGGCAGACTGAGCGGCCCCATCTGGCCCTTCAGGGTTTGGGGGAGTGAGCTAACTCTGTCATACTTCTGAGACCAAATCATTCACATGATTTTTCATTTATTTTTGAATGGAGTACATTTATAGAAAGTGAAGCTCTTAACACTCATATTTTAAGCAAAGAAGTACTTGGAAACCCATCTACGGAGTGTTGGTTTGCCAGTCACCCTGGACTCCAGAGCCAGCAGGGACAGCTGTCATTGCTGAAATGTATCTTGTTAACTTGGACAACTTCCCCTGCACAGAAGAAATCATTTTATCACCTGATGGTATCTGAATAATGGAAATATGTGTATGTATAAACTTACTGAGAAGCGTTGGGAAATTTTTTTATTTCATTAAGCAGAAAATAGAATAGAGCTCATTTTGCTGTGATTTTAAAGATTTTGGTGTTTCAAGCCTGTTGGTTTAACTGTGGTTACCACCCTTCCCGCCACTGCCCTTAAGGCACAACTGAGCATCTCACCCTTATGTGCAGTGTGGCAGGTGCCCTCTGGCCTAGGGCCTGCCCAGTGAAAGGGCTGACCAGACAGTCTCCCTCTTTCCTTCAGAAAGGCGTCTGCTTTTACTCCTTTGTGTAGTATAAAGAATTTTTTTCCCACAAGTAGATATTACAAATGAGTTGTATACTTAAAAGACATCATTAATACACATTAGTTGTACACTGTACACTGTGTTGCAATATGTGGCCTCCTAGCTGGTCAGTCATAGTTTCTGATACAGTGTTAATTAGATGTCTTTAATTGTTGAGACAACATCTTCATTTTCTGTTTGGGTGTCACTGCAGTTCTCTCTGGCTTGTCTTTTGCTGCTTGTCCATAGCCTGTGTCTGTGCCTGTCATGTGGGCAGTGCCACATGAAGCCAGGTCTTAAATGGGAAGAAGAGAGGCTCCTCCTGCGGAGAAGCTTAGTCGCGTCAGTATACAGCTCATGGAGCAGATGGGGTTGGAGGAAGAATTGATTGCTGATGGCCTGAACAGTGGTTCCCAAGTCAGTCCAGTTGTTTATATAAATGGGGTTCAATATAAGTAAAATTGGCAGCTTTTTATTTTGCAGCATCATTGTTCAAAGGATCACCATTTTTTGTTACTCTAGTCCATTAAGAAAAGTATAGTTGAGGGTCCTTTCTGGTAGCACAGTGGGTTAAAGAACAGCACTAAGAAGCTAAAGCCACTTGAGCATGAGTTTGATCCTTGCCCGGGAGGTGACCCACATGGTGCGGCAGACCTCTCCTGGCCTGCCCGCTGCTCCCCTCAGCAGTGTAATTCATCATTTGGCCTGTTCTGCTCCCCACTCTGTCTCTTGTGAATCCTCTTACCCACGGCACCTCTGGCCTATACCTAGTTCTGTATGCATAAATAAATAAACCTTTTTTTTTTTTTTGAAAGGATAGTTGAATATGAAAAAAAGAAAAGTTAAAATGTCAGAACAGAGGACATGTGTCTAAAATGCATTAGTGGGGTTTTAGGAAAACTCCATTGTGTTGTCTTTATTTATTATTATTATTTTTTTTCATTTTGGCACTAGTGAAAGTGTCACAGACTGACCTTTGGGAAATGCCAACCTGAAAGAAGTTATGGGAATGTGGGCCTTGTCTGGACTTGGAAGATAGAGCCTAACAAAAAGCAAGGGGTTGTTAAGAGGACTGAGGGACAAGAATTAGAGCCAGACATAGTAATGGTTGGGTGAGCAGGGGTGGGTAAGGAACTGCACTGTGCTTTGCAGTAAAAGAAAAGTGATACTGGAGAATGGGGAGGATTGAGATTTGCAGTAATACAGAGCTATAGTTTTTTTTTTTTTAGCCTAACATGAAGATGCTCAAAAAATGGAACTGGTGACTAAATGTAATGTGAATTGGAGAGGTTGAGTTAGGGAGGGTGCTGTTCCTCAGCTGTGAGTAGGTGAAGCCAAGAATAGGAGAGTGGGTACAGAAGTAAGGGAAATAACACATACAAGAGACATTTAGAGGAAAGAAGAGTTAGGACTTAGTGACATATACCAAAGGAGGGAGGGATAGAAGTTACAGTGAAAAGTTCTAAACCTGGAGAACAGAAAAATGGTGGAAGTAGGGACACAAATGAGTAAATTTCTGAAGTTGATATAGGCACCTGCTTTAGGTTATAGCTTATCTTGGGAGTAGATGAAGCCGCCATGGTACTTTGGGGCCCTGTACTTCTGTCAGATCTGATAAAGAACTGTCTCACTAGTTGAATGAACCTCATGTTAGCAAAGTGCTGCCCTCTGTGCATATTTAGATGTTAAATGAACATTGTCATTTGCTCTCATTTTGTCTCCAACATTAGGAAGTATACCAACATTGTGGTATGTGATGAGGAAATTAGGGGGTGTAAGAGAGGCAGTAGGGGCCCTCCCTGGTGGCGCAGCGGGTTAAAGCGCAGCACTAAGAAGCTTAAGCCACTTCCGCATGAGTTCGATCCCCGCCTGCCCCGGAGGTG